ATCCAGTCTAGCATTCTGTTTTTCATAAAGCCAGTGATATTCTGGCTGAAAAGCATAAGACATGGAAGTCCAACCAAGCTCCATTACTTTCTTTATAAGATTTTCTTTCCTTTTTATTTTGTAACAACAGACATGTTGTTCCATGTTCGGATTTAATTAAGGCTAGCAGATCTTGCTTGCAAAACTTTGGATGGCCACAAGATGTTAGTAAAGAGCTACAGCAACTTCTTTGATGCCATCTATAGTGGTCTGGATTTTTGAGCCATTATCATGACAATTATTCAGCAGCCATTCTTTCAAAAGCTACTGGATAAGATGCTTCTGAACATGGTTAGGGCTGGGTAATTGCATTTTGGACAGCAAAGTTTAAAAATATGTCTTTCTCTCCTAGAAATAACAAAAAATAGGGGGGGATTATTACTAGCACGAGGGAGGGAGGGAGGGAGGGAGGAAGGAAGGAAGGATCCTGGTTACGGTAAGAAGTATCAAGAGAGAACTAAGAAGAAGAGAAACAAAAGGGCATGTATTACCACGTCTGGCCTCTGGAAATCACTCAGCAATATCCATCAATAGGTCTACTCAGTTAGCAGGTCCTGACAATTTGGAATGTTTCAGTCATATTATGTGAAAGAAAATAACTATTTTGTTTTCTTCTGCAGCGGTCTATACGTCAAGTGAAAGCTCTCCAAAGCGAGGTAGGCAATCTATTGATTTACTAATTTATTTAGTAATGATTTTCCATTGTTGAAGGAAAAGTCTTCATCATGGTTCAGTCCAAGTCGGGAATAAACAACATGGCGATTGCTTTAGAAAGAAGGTTGCAGTTTATTGAAGAGGAGAGCCAGACAGAAAGATGGCTCTGGAAGAAAAGAGAGAAAGCACATGTAGTAGGGAGTGGTGGGTTTTTATACCTTCTTGAGCCTTTTGTTTGGAGTTGTTCCTGTGGCATGAACTTTGACCTGAGTCTGAGTGTGCCTTTCTGGTATTCTGATGGTGGTGGGTTAATCCTATTATGTCCCAAAGGTCATACCCTGCTTCCCTGGGGCTGTAGCTGATGACTCTTACATTTTTGGTGTGTGGGGTTATTGATTCTAGGGATCTTTCTTCCTAATCCCAGTTTCCTGACTCCAATCTTTCTGACAAGATTATCACATCTGCATTTCTGCAGACTTGATTTCTGTTTGGGACAGAGAGACTAGGGGGGGGTGGTTTCTGCCTTTAAAATCCGTTAGGGAAATATATTCTGCCTTTTAAATATTTCCCAAAATATTTCTTTCTCTGGGAGGGGCTGACTTCCCACACCATCACATTCTAATCTGGTAGGTAGGTGGATTTTACTGCTGTTTCATCAAAACCTAGGGAGCAGAGCATGTGTGTGTATGTGTTCCTTTGTTTAAGTGGATGTCTCAAGAGGATAAGAAAGAATGAAAGATGGAAATCATTACAGTAATCTTTCCCTCCAGGTTTGTGAAGACTTAACTGCTGAATCTGGGAGTATCCAATTTTGAAAGTGAACATCATCAGTAGTCAATTCAGATATTAATCAGTCTATTTTCCCCACAATTATAGGTGCTTTCTTCATCCACACTACATGCATTTATTTATTAATAACATTTATATCACTGCTCATTTTATACCAAACTCTGGGTGTCTTCCAATCAAGAATTAAAATAATGTCAGTAATAAAATGATATAAAAACCATATTAGAGCTATTCATACCATAAACATTAAAAACAACAACCAAGTTAAGCTTCCAACATGCAGCCCATCATCCTATCCCAGCACCTGGGTTTCAGGTCTTTTCGGATGGCTAAGTAAGTAGAGGCCTGCTCAGAGGTGTGTTCCATAGGGTAGAGATTGCTACAAAAAAGTCTTATGGAAGCTAGGAAACTAGGACGAGTTCGTGTGTGAACTTTAGAATTTCAGTAGCATAAGTCGCCGGTGCAGCTTAAGTGGTGCCTTCATGAGCTCTTGTAGCAGATGAGTGCAGCTTGCCAGTATGCTTAGGGATAACTCACCCCTTCCAGTTAAATTGGAGGCCCAGGTATCTCACTGAGTCAGTCCCCAGAGGGTAGATCGTATCACCCTTGCACTCGTAGGTGGTTGGGACGAGGGCCATGCACTTATGCTTACTCCCTTTGGCGATGGTGAGGCTGTGGTATTTCATCAAGTTCTGTCTGGTGGGAGGGAAATTTGTCCAGGATGTTTCTATTATCTGTCTTATAGAAATAGCTGCCCCCCACACACCATTCGGAATCACACTGAGGCTATCCCCTTCACCTACCTCCATGTAATGCTCCCCTAGGCTGGTCCTTGTTCTGTGGCACTAAGGCCTATGCATGATACCTTCCACCTTCCTGCCAATTCCATGGGGGGGGGAACCGTGCCCCCTCAGGCAATTTACAATTCAAATGCCCTCACTGAGGATGTAGCAGGAAAGAGATCTCCAAATCCCAAACCCTGATTGTGACTCACAGATGCTGCTGCCCAGTAAGGCAGAATATGTTGCACTGGTGGTCTCATTCTTGGGAGTCCTAGGGCTCTCTGTGTGCAATTTAAGAAATATTAATAGCCTGGCTTGCTAGCTTCCGTAAGGGGGCAATGTTTAAGGGAAAGTACCCAGAACACAATTCCTATTTAATCTGGTAGGATGGGTAGATATCCTTAGGGAAAGGTGATTTCACAGATAACCTAGTACTTCAGCATACTGCTGTATTCTGTGGAGCTGGGACTCTACATATAAACAAGCTGAGGGGCCTTCCCTGTTTGAATCATTCTTAAAAGTTGTTTCTGCAATTCTCCACCTAGTCTTCAAATGATTAAGAAAATTCACTTATGTTTCATGCTGAAGGCTGAATGGAATGCTTGGATCATCTTTGTTGTTTCTCTCCTCAGCTCATAATTTCCAGCTTCTTTGTGCGCTCAACGATTGTGTCCCGCTATGCCTCCACACGAGTGCGGACTTCCATGAGCAACCCACATCCTGAGGCCAAAGAAGCCATCTTTGACTTGGATCTGCCCCATTCTGCCTTCATCTCCAACTTTACCATGTGAGTCAAGGCCAGGGAAAGACATCTGCATATTTAATTAGAATAGAGCTGGAAGGGACCTTGGAAGTCTTCTAGTCCAGCCCCCTGCTCAAGCAGGAGTCCCAATATCATTTCAGACAAGTGGCTGTCCAGTCTCTTCTTAAAAACCTCCAATGATGAAGCACCCACAACATCTGGAGGCAAGCTGTTCCACTGATTGATTGTTCTCACTTTAGGAAGTTTCTCCTTAATTCCAGGTTGCTTCTGTCTGTTGTTTCTT